AAAAAAAAAAGAATGTATGGCCTGCTTTATTTAGCACCTCCAATTCTTTTTTTTTTCTTTTACTTTGTAAATATTTTAAGACAGCCTACAGCAGTACTTAGATTAGATGGAAGAGGCAATTAAAAATGAATTATATTCCAAGGTGATCTTTCATTTATCATAGCTGAGACAACCAGTGTTCCAATTTTATGCTAGTTACAAGTAGATTTCCTTATTCAATTTTTTCCTGCATTTTTGGGGAAATAAGTACATATATTAATATTTAGACAAGATTTAGTGATCTGTAAACTGAGGAGAATGCAACAAAATTGTAGGTGGTGAATGGCTTCGTGAGTGACAATGGGCATGTTTGTGTAGTGAGAGGATTTTCTTTTTTAAAGTACAATGATATTTACAAATTTTATTTCCAATTTTTATGTATACTTTTCATGTTTATTCAAAACTATAAAAGTTTTGATGTGTTCTAATTGGGGATCTTTCTAGAGTATATAGATCTTTTCTTCCCTTAAACATAGTTTAAGACAATATATTAACTATTTTTTGAATGTCAATCATTTTTTAAGATAGGATTAGGGGTTTTATAGCTGTATACAACCTTGCAGTTCTAAATTAATCCTACACAGTCCTAGTCAGTCTTTCTTTTTTTAAATCAAACTCCTAAGAAACCATTTCAGATCTTTCCCCACTGTTAAATTTTAATGCCATAGGTTTTTTTGTGTATCTGTTTCTGTGCTTAATAGTTATGCTTTATACTCACAAAGAGTGAGTTTTGACCACTTCCCTCGTTCCTAAATAAACACTTATTGTTTCTGTCGAGACTTTCTAGTCTAATCCAGTGACTCAGGCATGTTAAATGACATGTACAAAGTCACACAGCAAAGCTAAGATGACATTTTTCTATACCAAATTATAATAATGCTCCCCTTGCTCTTGAATTCTGAAGAATTGTTAATTTTTTTTCCCTAACTATTATATATTTGAGGTTTTCTACTTTTTGTAGTGTTTATGTTTTTATTGGGTATCTTCTCATTGTCAGATGCATCACGTACAGTATTTCAAATAATCCTCACAGCAGCTGTAGGAGTCTGGCAGAATTTCCACCAATGTGATGTCTATGAGTAAACCAAAGCCAGAGAAAGTGAGGGATACCTGTCATCGCACTGCTCAGACAGAGCTGGGTTGGGTCTAACTGATTGTCTGCTGATGTTACTGGCAGCTCTGTGGACCCGCCTCTGGGCTCTGCCTTTGACTCCACTTTCTGCTTCTTGGGTGTTGCACTTAGAAACCAGATCTGATGACAGATACAGGGCCTCTGCTCTGAGTGTTCTCAGAGCAGGATGTGGGCACTGTGCCCACTGTTAGGTGCTGGGAGGCCTCACACACACCTTCTTCTTATCTCCAAGCTCTACTTCGTGTTTACATCGTTGTCAACCACGTTCTGCAGGGATGAAGGGTTATTACACTTGCACATAGAACACTGTGATTGTGGCATAATTTGTTATGTTTAATAGAAGTTTTAAGGAAATACTTCCTGTGAATTGCAGTTGGCCTAAGTAAGTTGGCTTTTCATCCACAGTCTCTTATCTATGCTGCCAGAATTCAGTACACTTTGATAACAGAAGTTAATGCTTTGAATTGATGTGAGGCTGTCAACTAGTCTTTGCTTTACCCCGATTACTGTGAATGACCTTATTTCTAACTATTAGCTATTAATGTGTTTGATCGCTAACCAGACCCTATTTGGTATGTCATGGATGCCTTTATAACACCAGGTAGTTATCTAATGTAAAAAAGTTCTTAACTGGCTTCTGATGTTTAGGATTCTATAAGGAGCAAGTCTTTCTGTATAGTTTAAACTAACTGACTTATTTTGGCTGGAATACTTTGTCTGTAATTTTTTCCCCTTATATTTCTTCATGACAATTAGCAAGTTTTTTTAGACTATAAATTGAGTAGTGATAGTTGACATGCGCTTATAGGTAACTTGTAGTGAGAATGAAGATGCTTAATTTGGTTCTGAAATGTTCTTTTAGCCCTTTGTGTGTGTGTTTGTGTATGTATGTGTATATATGTCTGTATACATATATACACAAATAAGCACATAGTTACTTGTGTGAAAATATTGGAAAGGTATATGAGACAATGTAACTTTATCCTATAAGGAATATCTGTAAAGAACATCCAAATCATTACTTTCTTTATATTTTTCTCTTTGCTTTTATCTTCCAGAAGCCATAGCTTGTCTATGTTACAATAAAAAAGAAAATACACTGTCTATGGCTTCTGGTCATCCTTTATTAAAATCACAGCTTTTTTCCTCCCTAAAGATTATTTATGCATACACAAATAGGGTACAGGCCAGAGGTGCAGAGGCAGTGAGAAGATTCATCAGAGACAGAGTGGGGAGCAGGACAGGCAGATCGGGAAAGTACACTGTTGAGGGGAGCAGCGGGCGGGTCAGGAGAGGTCTGCTGTGCCATGTGGGTCAGCTCTCTGGCTGGAATCGAACTAGTGATAAGGCAGCTGCACTTTAACCCTCTGAACC